ATCGATCCGTAGACCTACAAGAATTTTAAAATTATATAAATAAATCAGTTTTTAAAGTACTCTCTTTAAGTTGATTGATGACAAAATAATAAATTATTAATTTAAATTATTTATCATACTCGAAATAACTTTTGTGAATAGCGGTTTGGGTTTTCTAAAACGAAATTTTATTTTCAATAGTTTAATAAGTATCGAACGAGTTAAAGTAGTAATATGTATATAATGATATAAATGGTTTGAATTACATATTACCTTTGGACAGTAACTGAATAGACTTCAAGAAACTTGACCCACATTTATAAGATTGGTAGAACAAAGAAACTGCAAGGGTCTAAGCGAGATCGATAACTCTCACGAACAAAATTACACCAATTTAATAAAAATGTATATATTTTAATAAGTATCTACGCTAAATAGAACTAAAAGCAAAATATTATTTGATATTTTAATAATGGGGTGTTTGCTACCTTTTTAAATATTAACAGAAAATGAAATAATGTGACAGAAAACCTGCTTCGCATTGTTTTATTTTCCGTCTATTAATACGAAGCTCAACTAAAATCTCGTACTACTGTCCTCCTTTATTTAGTAATACAATAGACAGAGAGAAGTTGTTACTTAAATGTAATAACTACGTCCGTAGTCTAATACGTCACAAGTTGAATTAAAATTTTTAAAATCAAATAAAAAATTATACAGGGTGATTCAGTCATAATGTCAAGATAGGGAAGATGAATAAAATACGAATACTTGCGTGATTAAAAAAAATTAAAATTCATATTTACGCTGAAAAAAATATTTTCAAATCATTTTCGGACCGCTCCTGAACGCTGATCTACTAAGGTTTATTGAGAGTGAACCTTGACCTACCTTACTATTTGGTCATTAACCTAGTACTCAATGTATTTTTAATCTGTAGTGAACAATAACGAATAAACAGAGCTTTTTATCTAGACACATGAATTAATAAGATATTTTTAGTACATTTTAAATATTAACAAGTTTTATTTATTTGTTAATAAAAACAAATATATAAGGATAATAATAATTGTTTTCGAATGTTAGGTTATTACATTTTAGTATTTTTAATATTGTTAACGTTTTCACTATATTTTATAATTATTGAATATGAGTTTTTATATTAGTATTATGTTCAAATAATTATTTAGTTTGTAGTACGTATACCCTATTGTCCGACTTATTGCTTTTCAAAGAGTAAATGACAGTACGGCTAAAAAACACTCACTCCATCCGTCATCACTTTGTTAATAAATTTGGGATCCGCTACATCTTGATTTTGAAACCAGTTGCAAAATTCAAGACGACTGGGGATATCAGCTGTTTCGATTCAACGTTCTAACGCTCTATAGTCTGCCGGCGCGTTCCCTATTGTGAATTAGAGCCCCGAGTTAAGGGGTAATTTGCTTATTTCTTTAAAGGTCGAGTAAACATTTTGTTTTTCGATTTTCTTTATTAGGAATTCCGAATACGTGGTTAAAATTAATGACATTATGACTGAATCACCCTGTATAAGGAGTTTTTGGCAAAATTCCTTATAAGATTCGCATTAACTTTCGTATAAAATAAAATTCATTGATAAAACGCTACACATTTTTATGCAAACAAGCCATTATTATGAATGAAGCCAGAGTACGACATTATTAAAATTTATTTGAAAGTTAGCAATGAGCAAATTAAGGAGCTTACCTATAAAGTACCTGTACGAAATTCGACCCCGTCCCTAATAAGGCATTTTTAACTTGAAACTTCCAATAATAGGAATTTGCACAAATTCCTATACTGAAAAACAACTTAGTATTTGCAAAGGATTTTCTTTTACTCTTTATACAGAAGTTATATTTTGAATATTTTTCTTTTGATATTTGTGTTTAGCGTATATATTTTTTATTTTTTTTTGAGGTTACATGCTACTAATGAATCACTTTATATTGGGAACGTGAGGATTTGTTTAATACCCCAAAGGTTGATATCTAATAAAAGAGGGTACAAAACTGCGTCTCAAAAAATATTGGAATTGTTTTGTTCGAGGAGAAAATAACACATTTTCTTGAAATTTTCAGATTTTATATTTATACAGGAATATGCAGCGGCTTTGTGTCAAATGTTCCTCATAAGGCCAATTTAATTATTTTACACTTTCTTGTATGTTTCAAAATCCCTAATCAAAAGTGGATTTTGATTTTGAATTGTCTTTAACAGAAAACTAAACATTCTTCGTAAATGGTGTACCTAGGTATAATTCAGCTAAAAGAAAAAAAATACTTTTATTGTATCAGTTATACTATTAATGATTAAAATCTCGCCGAAAGATGTAAACTGGACTCTTTGTAAAATACCAACATATCTGTGGTTAAATCTCCCTTGGCACTATCTGAGCTCCCCTCAAGTGATTATACTTTTAAATTTTATTTCGATTTTGCCATAGTCCTGCTTTTCTGCCGGTATAATCATCCATCGCAAGAGACTATAAAATCAAAGTTGTTTGCAGTATATTCGAATGGAGCACATCTTACAAAGTAAAACTACAATAAAGAATCGGTGATGGATAGCACTAAGAATTTTATTGGGTTTTCTTCGACTTGAAATTTATTACGAAATACATCCGCAGAGAATCAACTATAAGTTCATAAACCTGTATGATCCGCACCAGATAAAATTCGAAGGCCCTAAGTGCTTTCGTACATTTAAAGTACTACCTAATGTTACATTTCGTTTCACTGTCAAAACTAGGGTTCTAAAGTTTCTATCAATCTCAAAAATAAAATAAATTTTATCTTATTTGCATTAGTGTTAAAGTGCAGCTCATCAACCGCTCAGTTTTTAAAACTGACTCAGTTTTGCGTTTTTCTTGTTTGCTTATTTTTTTTATTTTAACTTTTTTTAACTTCCCTTCTCAAATAATAAAATAACACTTAACCTTTAATGGAAATTTTTAAACAGTTAAATAATATTTCTGGGTACTGAAATACAACGGATATAAATATTCTAGTGGGTGCCATTAATCCAAGTAGAAATAAATTGCGGGTATAAATAGACTATGCGTTGGAGCTATTCCGAATAATGTTCCAGATAAGTTTATTAGTACATGTACAATGATTTGTACACAATTATGAAGGGAAGGAAAGCCAATATTAAATTTATTCTACTTATTTACTTTAGTAAAATGAACGTTTGGGTTACCAACAAATAATAAATAATATAAATAACAAATAATAAAATCAAATAATTTGTAATGTGCCGTTTGTTTTGCATAATGTACCGATAATATATTTAACCTTTAAGCGCATACTTGAGATGTTCTGTTATTACAAGCGCCCATTTCTATATTAGCTTGTCATATACAGAAAGAGAAATGATCAGCGCTGGGTAGTTTCCTTTCTTTCAATTTGTCAGTTTCCAACTTAGGCGTTTCCTTTCTTATCATATGCATGCAAGTGCGAAAAACGCACATTTTAGTTATTATTCTGATTTTTTAAAAATGCAAGCGAATTTAACGGTCAAGAACATTGCATGATATAAGTAGTGATGCCATTTAAATGTGTAGTTTTTTAACAAAAATGTCTGTCAAAAACGTTTACCGTGCGTTAAGTGTAAATAAGAAAAAATGCGAAACGTGTGGCAGGAAAACCATTGAAATCGGCTATGCAGTACGTAAGAAGATTCATGAATGTTATTTTAAAAATGAACTTCCAATATTAAAAAAATTTAAACTGCAATTGCAGAAGACGACGATTTGCCTGTACTGTTCAAATAGTTTTACGCAATCGAAAAAGTATGCTAACAAAAAAAGAAGAAAAGAATAAGTAGGAAAAACTAATAGAATAATAAGAGAACATTTAGAAAAGAGAGAACGTTTTACATCGCAAACGAAAATTTATTATCGGTTTAGCAAGATTTAAATAGGAGAAACATTTGTAGAATAATTTTCTACGGGATTATATGACCCTGTGGGAAAGAACGTCGATTAATAACCACGCATATCGGAAGTGAATGTAGATTTCTGGATAATAGTTTACATGTGTTCGTATCGCGACGAATAAGACATTACCATAAACAAACAGACAGATACTCAATGGGGAAAATGTTTTGCATCTATTTTGTCACACATCGAACTTGGTGCAATTATTGTCGTGAATAATGCACCTTACCATAGTCAACGAATAGAAAAATTGCTAACATATGCACGAAGAAAATACGAAATTATGGAATGATTGAATAGAAAACATATGGAAAATAAGAACAAGATGTTAAAAGTACAATTATTAGTCACTGTAGAAAAAGAAAATGTTATATACACGAAATATGTAGTGGATGAAATGGCTGAAGCCAATTGAACTAATCTGCGCCGATATAAAAACTTACATGACACGAAATAACACAGCTTTTAAATTATGGTAAAAGTACTTAGGGTAAACTGTGGAGACATGGAATACGTGTACAAAAAGAACAATGTACCTATATGGGACCTCGATACAGTAGTTCAAGTTATAACTACTTATCATATGTGATAGTAGTGATAGCGTTAGTGACAGTGACAGTGATAACGACAGCAATAACCAGTGGTTTTACTAATGTTTATAACATCGTTTCTACTGTGTTATCGGTGATACATCTAATTTTTCAGTAATTTAGTAGTTTTAGTGGCTTTTGTCTGGCCTTACTGTTACAATTAATACGACTACTTAACGCAGAGACAACTTGTCCAGTCAACGATAGCACTGGATACGTCACATAATGAAACGAGAAGTAACAAGTGTACCTACATGAGTGATAATAGGCTATTTTTGCCATTCTTTAAATAAAAAAGTATTTAGTTACCTGTTGGATGTTTGAATACAGGGTAGCCCATCGAAAACGTACCGCAAGGCATTACAGGGTAGTAAAGAACTTTTCGGCAAAATCCAAAAACAGGTCAAATTTGTTTCTGAGGGGGACAACTTTTGGCTCAACAAGCATACCAAAATCTTCAACCCCCTAAGTGGGNTCCGTACTTTGGACCAACTACCTAGAGAGACACCATATCCAGGGGTATACGTCGCCCATATACCACCAGAGAGCTAATCCTGTCGAGCGACGTATACAGGAATTGAAGAAGTCAATTCGAGCCTTGGTCGAGGATAGACCATATAACTGGCCAGAAAAATTGCCTAACGCCCTGTACGCGCTGCGAACTCGCACAAACGCTGCCACGGGAACAGCCCCAGCCACATTGCTATTCGGCCAAAACCTCAGGCGACCCGGAGACTGGACAATGCCGGCCGAAGCGCGGCCTCCTATACAGCCGCACGACGAACGAGTCGCCAGAGCCAGGCAACGGCAAGAGATGTACCAACAGCAGCTATTTCCCGAGCCAAGGGAAGCCCAACGACATTACCAGGTCGGAGACTTGGTATTAACTAAAACGAGACCCGGCCAATCGACTTTTGCACCAAAGTGGTCCGGCCCTTACCCAGTGATCGAAGTATTAGGCGACGGAGTATACGTAATCGACCAGAATGGGAATGCACAACCTATACATATCGATGATATCCGTCCAACGCCACCACCCAGGGTCGAGATTGCAGACGACGACCCCGTAGAGCCGGATGAACAGCAGCCCGAAGCCGCAGCTCCACTTCCCGAGCGGCAGCCCGTACGCCCTATACCAACGCCGCCGACACGCGAGAAGTCCCCTGAACTGGCACGTCAAGAGCCGGACCAGTCGCAGTTAGCAGCCCGTACTCCGCCACAATTTACTGGACGAGAACGGCGATTCAGCGCCGCACGCCAGGCCGAGCTCGGAAGCCCACGTCGACAATCACTGGTAATCGTCAGATCGCCACAGCCACGGCCCGAGGAATCCAGCGCGAGCGACGAGCCAGGACCAGCCATACCACTGCAGCGCGGCCACTCCAACCCAGAGCCGCCTAGTGAACCCGGACCAAGCGGCCTGAACTTAAAAACTTGGTGAGATCATGTAAACGGTGTAAATATGTTCCCGATATTGCAGCATTGCCTTTTTCTTTACTATTTTTTTTAATATTTTAATGTAACTTGTTTCATTTCATACTATATTTAGCAATTTCTCTTGCCCAGAATTGATTCATTTAATTTGTTTACTTAGATTTGTACATATAGGTTGATTTTATTGAAATAAAGTCAACCAAAAGCACTTGCGAGACTCTTCGGCCGGGGGGATGTCGTGGTGACACGTCGCTCTACCTCGGCCGCGTATAAAACCGAGGGTGTCGTAGCCGTGAAGGCCGCGAAAGACGCGAAAATCGCGTCTCTGTGACACAGAAAATGCACATTCAACGCGAGCCAGAGGGCCCGACAGCCAAGCCAGGAGGCCCGGCGGCAGCGTTCAGTCCCCCGTCCGCCTTTTTACAATATATATTCCGCGCGCTCCAGCCACGACATCAAACCTCGACTCGAGCCGTCCCGCACTTCATCGAACCTCACATTATTTTTTTTAACATAGTCTCGCAACGCTTTTGGTCATTTAACACATATAAATATTTAATTTTACACCTATCATTCCGACAACCCAAACATTTTTTTTTTCTTCAAGAAAAAAAATATATATAATGGCAACCCAGGACTCCTTCGGATTCCCCGAAGGCCCAAGAAGGAGACAAGTTGTCCCCCTCAGAAGCAAACTTTACCTGTTTTTGGATTTTTCCGAAAAGTTCATTATTACCCTGTAATGCCTTGCGGTACGTTTTCGATGGGCTACCCTGTATATAACCAATGAACATATCTATTTGTTGTTTTGTATGTAATAATTTCTCTAAAATGATAAGCCCATGGAACCACTTTTTCGCACGCCTTACCCATCGCCTGGGTGTTGAGAGTTTATCACTCCCTTAGTTTCACTTGGACTATTTTGTAAGTTATTTTATTAGAGTTTTTCCATGTTTAGTTTCATTGTTCTCTTTCTTGATTAATTATTTACTACCTCAGTAAATATAAACAATTCGTGCTATATTCTTCGTGAGCCGATCGGCAGCCACTAGGGAAATACTCACTGTAAACAGGCAGCTCAAGAATGACGAAGAAGTGGCTAATAAACGTCAGACTGGTGCACAGTTGTGTCTGGCTATAATTAAAACTAAGTATCTTAGCCGTTTCCCGCAGGCCTTCGGACTGACGCGTTTCTTGAGAGAAAAAAAAAGCAAGAAAATTGATTGAGAACGCAGCGGCCCGAGAGACGTAAGACAAATGGTAGATGGAAAAACCACCCGAGGATTTCCATTAAATATGCTTGCTCTACAAGCTTTGCGATTAGCATTGGAAGTTGCTGCTTTTTCTGTCAAAGGAAATGTAAAAATATACAGTCGTCCAGATTATACGGTTTTTATAAAGAAATATGGCTTTCTCGGTATACGAGAGTATTTCATTATACGGGTAACTAATGTAACGCGATTTGTTAATGCTCGGAGGTATAATGGAGTCGTTTTCTCTGTTCTCGTTGTCCTCATTGTTAATATATATAAGTAAGTAATTCACTATTATCATTAAATGCACTATACTAATAACGAGTGTGATGGATGGTTGCTATTTCAATTTGAACTATATAAAGCTAGAAACAAATAGAAACTATCAGGTAATTTTAAGGAAAACTAATAACATCTTCGATTTAAAAAATTGAAAATTTTAATTATTATAGTTTGAAACTTCCATACTTGAACAGTCCAATGTTGTCATCTTTATACCCATTCTTAAAATTTGTATAAGTCAGTAAGTACAGGGCTTTGTCAATAAATGTTTTATTTAGAAAATGAATATATTTCTTATAAATAAATATAAAAGTATTATAAAATAGTTAAACAGAAGAAATTATAGATTTTAAAAATAAACTGCCTTTGTTTCCTTACATCTAACTAACTAGTAGCAAGAAGAAATTAACTACATAATTTATATCGAAGACATTTTCAAAAGATTTTCATAACACTTGTAAAATAAACAGCATTGACGTTAAGTATTTTTATTTATTTTATCAGGTATTAGAGTTGCAATATATCAAGAAGAATAATTTTCATTCATTTTCATCCATAAACATTCGGGTGTACCTAAAACTAAAATTTTATGTTAGAAAAAAGCTGTCGATATCGCGCAGTTTCATCAAGTTTCACCCATTTATTCCTACCTGATCGAATGGCAAGTGGCAAAACGAAGATAAGCGTTTTTTAAAAGTTGTAATCTATTAATACTGCGCTACTTTCCAGCCCCATTAACCCAATTTCGAAAATATGAGTGTCTCACACAGTTACAACTTTATTTTAATGTCTAATGTGTGTCTATGAGAGAAAAGATTTTTGAGGATAGTATAATACGATTTGGGGAAATAATTAGCACGTTTAGTAAATTTCAAAACAGGCTCGATTCATGTTTTTACAGCCATCGCAGTGAAATAAGCTGGAGGAAGCACCTATACTCTCTAAACGCTTACTTTCCTCATGTGCATGTGTTGTTACAGCAGCAATACAGATATGGTTGTTGCAGGTGCAGTGGAAGATTTGTTATTAGTATCTACTATTTAATTTCTAGTATCTACTACTTCATTATCAATGCTTTATAATTCACCAAGTACATATTCATTCAACATACAACTTATCACCTTGATGGTGATGATGATCTTTTAATTGTTGGTGCGTTAAGTCATTAAAATAATACTACCAAACAATTTACTTTTGCTTTCTAGCATTTCTAATTTTATAAAAAACGTACACATTCAAGTTTGTGTGGGCTATTTTGTTCTTTACTAAGAAGAAAAAAATATATTAATTGATTATGTTAAAGGACTTAACAGTACGTTATTTTTTTTATATTTTTATATTTGGTTTTAGGACTGATAGAACTGTCCTGTCAACTCCTTGATTTTTAGCTCTAACCAAAACTCAATTGCGTGCATTATAATCTTTGTCTCATATCTGTCCTTAACAATTTCATCATACAATCGTTTTAATGTGATCTGTATAAGTTGTTCATATCACATCCACCTCTGCGTAGATTACTTCGCCTTAATAATTATAATCAATCCTTTACTTAAAAATATATGTTATGTACTTGAAACTGTGCCAGAAGTTTTGAGATTCTTACACTTCGTCCATCCTTCCAACTTTGTGAATACGAATTTCTAGAGAATATGTATCAAAACATGTTAACTAGATAAAGTTTGTATTCGTCACCACAAAACAAACGAAGTATGTATTAATATTCAGAAACGTTTCTAACCTGAAAATAATTTAATTAACTAATTTTCTTGAACACAGCTCCCTTATCTTTGCAAAATCAGCAGTCAGTCTAGTGACTTTAATATCGTCTCGCCAGCTTATGTTTAAATGTCTCTTACTGAATTGTGATGTAAATATACGTCTATAAAAGATCTTTCAAAATTTGTTTTTAAATTGGTAATTGAAGAAATATCTATAGGAAGTAATTTATGTGAGCTCTAAATATGATTAATCGTTAGACATGTAACATTGTTGGTGTAGGTTACAGATAAATTACAAGCAAAGTCATGATTCATTGGAAAGTTCCACACATTTCCTAAAATCATCTCAGGTATAAAGTAACGTCAACAGACAAAGGCAATAGCAAAGATATATGGACGTAGATATAGCAACAACTAACAATTTGTTCTCGACCCCACATACATATTACCCAGGCAGGCAAGGAATAACCAAAAGTTCGGTTCTGAAATCCAATTTGATTTATAAACAGCAGAAAAAGCAGAGCTTCAACGAGGTTGTTTGCGGATCGGAGAAATTATTCGGGTTGTATTTGATGCATGGGTGCCATAAATACATACATCAACGAAACCGTATTAACGGATAAAGGTAATCGGGTTGTAACGCCCTCTCAACAAATATTTCCGGCAACTCTCTCCAGCGATCTCGCCTGAAATTAATTTTATGAATTTCCACGTGCATAAATTCTTTCAGGATTCCCAATAAAACTGCAACTTCTACATTCCATACATCAATACCTGTCGGATATGTTTCGAATGTTTTATTTTAACCGCTGTGTGAACTTATCGAGAGACATTTGTTTTTCTTCTATTATTTTCTTCTCCTCTTATCTTCTTCCTCTCTTTATTATTATTCTTCTAGAGCTCTATAATTCCTTTTTTTCACGAAACATTACAATACAGAAGGAGAAGAAGGAGTATATAGCTAAATAAATTTAAACATTTTTGTAATAATTTTAGTAATAAATTGTATAACCCCAAATACCCATAAAATGTTATTAGTCCTTTATTGCAATTCGTTACACATCCTTTTGCACAGCATACAATGCTTGGCCACGTTTTTGAATTGTAACAAAATTAGAAAAAGTTCATATCAAGAATCTACCCTCATATCTATTACATTGGTAAAAATATAGAATAGACCAAAGGCAATTTTCCTGGGGTTTGAAAAATGCGTCGAAAAACAATTAAGTATTACGCTTGCTAGAGTTTTAATAGAACACCCTGTGCAAATACATATATTTGTGTACATGTGTTTCAAGCACCTGACTCTTTTTTGTACATGTGCAACAATGCACCTGACACCAAAATATATGTGCAAAAAACGATCCAAACTTGCGCTAAAAGAAAAACCCATTTTTCTTTGGAATATGTAATTGTTTTCCCCTTAGCTCTCCATCCTGTGACCAAATTTCTACACTCCATTACTACAACCTTGAATAATGTTCAGAGAGACAGTCTAATCGCTGCCGCTCTGTCTAGGATAACTTTACAAGCTAAATCAAAGAAAAAGAACAAATTGCTACTTGGTACACTTATTGAATAATGTTCAGAGAGACAGTCTAATCGCTGCCGCTCTGTCTAGGATAACGTTACAATCTAAATCAAAGAAAAAGTACCAAATGCTACTTGGTACATATATTAAATAATGTCCAGAGAGACAGTCTAATCGCTGCTGCTCTGTCTAGGATAATGTTATAAGCTAAATCAAAGAAAAA